TGATAGATTATATATTAATATCTTTATTGACAGGTGTATTTGATGCCTGCCTCCCCGACCAGCAGCACTCGCTTCGCTCGTGCCGCAAATGTCGGGGGCAGGCATCAATTTTTTTCAACGCAATTTTTAACGTACTTTCGACCGCATAGTAAGAAAACTAGTATACACTACATGGGCAGAAATTTGAGAGCCCTGAACTGCGTGCCATGATGCCCTCGGCTTCGCCTCGGGCATATGGCGCGCAGTGCAGGAATCTCAAACTTTCTGCCCTTGTAGTGTAATATACTATTGCGTAACTTTAAGCTATACAAAGCTGAGTTTATTTTACTCACAGTTTTCGACACATGCAAATTCCAAGATAGATTACTTGAGACATGTAAACCCAGACACTTTGAAGAGTCAGTATATGGCAATGCAACACCATTTACAATGATGGATGGTAAGCTTTCACGCTGGATCATTTTTAATTTACTATTAGTGCCTAGTAACATAACACTAGTTTTATTTAAGTTTATCTCTAAACCATGATCTTTCGCCCAGTCAGCAACTGCCTGAGCATCTGATGTGACATTAGCAATTGCATCATGTACCTGATAAGCATAAAAGTTAAGATAAATAAATTTAATATTATAAATATTTTTAATATTAAACTTTTTTAATTGAGCATTAAAAATTAAATTGTAATATGCATTTTTATTTGAAATAATTTACTTATAACAAGTCATATGTATACAGTCCAGTAAATGAATACTTTTATTTTTTGAAAAATTACAAACAAATGAATTTTTTTTGAGTTATCATTTTATTGGATTTTACTGACTTGTGTTTGTGAAATTTCTCAATTCTTTTCAGTAAGTATGTACTGTTATTATGTAGCTAGTATAGGATAAAAACATTCTATCCGTGATTAATTCAAAATTGTTTACGTTCTCATAAATCATTCAATTACTACTATTATTTGTTTAAAGTTTATTAAACGTTATTGATTGCTTTTCAATCAAAGTGAGTTAATACTTTCATTCTATCGATAATTTAGTCGTTTTTGATGCTTTGTATCGACATGAAGATTATATTAAATATTATTACTAATTTATTGCTTTATATCATTTTGGTTAGTTATGGATATCGAATATTTATTTCTTTAGTTTTAAGTTTGAAAAAAATTTTATTCTAATATAGTTAGAAATTAAGTTGTTTTTTTTTTTATAATCTCCCAACGGTTTTCACGTTATTGATACTCAAGATATTATTTTTTTTGAATCAGAAACATTGTTATTATTGTGAATACTGTTGCAGGTACAAGCTGATATCAAAAGAGATTGTCGAAAAAAAACTGGTGTCTCATGGGGTAAGTATCATATGGTATGCGTCATATTATTTTATAATGATATGATTAATTTTTGATTGTTATGTTTTTTTGATAGGTTCATTAATGAAGCTCAAAAAAGCCGATTACAATCTAAATGACCAACAATTAAAGTGTTACTTACTGTGTTTCATGCAAAAAAATGGGATATTCGATAAAGACGACATTAATGTTGAAAAAGCTTTACGGCATTTACCGAGAGGAGTTCAAGGGGCGTCGAAAAAAACATTAGAATATTGCAAAAAAATTCGTATGTCTTATTTTTAATAATGTTTATCATTTTACGTATAAGTTCTAGATTTATAAATGGTACTTGATATGTTAATTATAAACTAAGTTATATTGATATATAATTTCAGCTAGTAATGATACATGTGATAAAGCGTTTCAACTTGCTAAATGTTACTTCAAAGCTCAACCAGAAGTAAGTTTTTTTAGATTTACTAAGACGATCGAAAATGTTAAATAATTAAATCTTTTTAATTAATTTCAGGTGCTGAAAACTGTATCATTTGTTTGAAGATATGTAAAGAGAAGACATAATAAAATAACATTTAAATTGGTTTCTGCGCGGAAAATTTTATGAACCAGACGTATATATAAATAAAACGGAATGATGGAAGGGGGAGGGATCACACAGAATTGAAAATTTGTATTATTATTTTTAACGAAATTATTAATTTTTGTTAATTTTAATTCATTTTAATTCATTGTAATCAATTTTAATGAATTTTAATTAATTTACAAACATGTATGGAATTCACTCACATTCCATATACACTTATTTCAAAATTAATCATAGTTTTTTATTTCGATAGTGGTATAATATGGTCAAAAATATACAACACTGTAAATCTTTATTTGTCACAATTTAACTCAGTTTTTATGTTAATTTTATGTTTTACTGTACTGATAATATGTGATTGGGCCAGGACTTTCGCAGTTGTTTGAATGAGCATTTATATGTTTAACCTCAAATTTGAATAACGAAAAAACGCCAACTTCTTGGCCCTACACAAAATGCAATAAAGGATCATTAATCATAATCAAATTCAATTTGCTCGCACGGTAACGGATTGATTATACATTAATTGGTCATTGATTATACATACACAAAGAAATTTTCTTTAAAAATACTGTTAAATTCACGGCAATCGTGGATCAGATGGCACGACCTAATCATTTGTCCGTAAGTAAGATAATTTTTAACTTATTTTCAACAAATTTTTCCGTGTACACTAACGTAGTCTACTATAAATTTTATTCGGTTTACGGTAAATTTTATGAAGTCTACTATAAAATAAATTAATTTTTTCGTAAATTTTATTTCAAAAATGGTAATAAATAAAAGAACCGCGTTATGTCCCACGATTACAGTGTATTTAATGGTAATTTTTAAAGAAAATTTCTTTCCGAGTATATATGCACTAAGGGGTCATCCATAAATTACGTCACACCTCAAAGGGGGGGGGGGTATAACCAGAATGTGACATTGTGTGACAAGGGGCAGGGAAGGTCAAAAGCTTTGTGACATCACATGTTAAAATTTGGATTACTTAAACGCGAAACTTATCGCGTAGAAGGATCGTTTTTGGCCAGTTAACATCTGAATTAATTTATAAAAAATTATAATATTATAACCATATTTTTGTTGAGTTTTAAAAAACTTATATTAAAACAAATTGAGTTTGTAATGGTTTATTAATATAAATTCATTTCTATCGTTTATTGGAACAATAAATGGCCATAAACGGTACAGTGGCCACAAACGCTACTTCAACCCTATGTGAATAAAAAACTTTGAATATTTACGAACTCAAATTATGTTTATTCATATATACGTTAGCACTCTCGTTATAAGATTATCTCTCACTCAACAACATCTAACTTCTAAAGCGGCGTTGTAATGCAAGTGAGACTAAAATTCTCACAAGTTCTGAATAGTAAGGGTCTGAGTAGGTTTAAATCGTGGGCGAGTGCTCGCTCGCTTTTTAAAAAAATTAAAATAACTGTTCCTTTTTTTTGTGTAACAAGAAAAATTTTGGCTGATTCTATTAGGAATAAGGTCAAGTAGAGTAGAATTAGTAGTCTAGTATTTCAGATACGAATAGTTTTATTGTAAAATGATTTTTTTAACTTTTCTTAAATTACAAGTTATTTTAACAAGAATTAAATTATTATCAATGTTATAATATTAATATGAGTACATTTTTATGATTTTCTCCTGTATTTTGCGTCAGGAACAACCCTCTGTAATCCCCAGCAATAATTTGCCAGCATATAGTTGGACACCATTTTCCCAGGTATCGTTTTTCTATGGTAAAAATGTCTTGGTGGAATCGTTCCCCGTGTTCATCACTAACAGCACCCAAGTTTGGAGGAAAAAAGTCTAAATGTGAATCTAAAAAATGTATTTTTAAGGACATATTGCAGCCTAAGGCTTTATAATTCTCTAAAAGTTCCTCGACAATAGTTTGATAGTCATTTGATCTGTGATTTCCAAGAAAATTTTCAGTAATTTTTATAAATGATTCCCAAGCTGGTTTTTCCAAATCATCGAGTTCTTTAAATATATCGTCTTTTATCACTTGCCTGATTTGAGGACCTACAAACACACCCTCTTTAATCTTGGCGTCACTGATTTTAGGAAATTTTTCATTTAGGTATTGAAATCCAGCGCCATTTTTATCCATTGCTTTCACAAAATTTTTCATCAGGCCAAGTTTTATATGGAGAGGTGGTAAAAATATATCTTTAGGTTGTACTAATGGAGCATGTTTTACATTTTTTATTCCTGGAGTAAGAGATTGTCTTTCGCGCCAATTTTTCTTAACGTAATGATTCTTCCTATCTCTACTGTCCCATTCGCAAAGAAAACAACAAAATTTTGTATACCCAAGTTGCAATCCTAATAAAAGGGCAACAACTTTTAAATCTCTGCAAATTTTCCATTTATGTTCGTCATATTTAATCTTTTCTACACGCAAAAAAAAAAATTGGGGCTGCCACATGATACATTCCTGTGGCAGCCACATGATTTTTTCATGTTAGCTGCCACATGATTTTCCTGTGACAGCAGCATGACTTTCATGAGGCAGGCAATAATATTTAAAACAGCAATAATAAGTATCATAATAATAATAATAATAATAATAATCTAT